CTAAGTTTACTAAAAATCACCTAACTGTACAATTATCCTAAGTGAATGGTCTGACTAACCTTATGCTTCAGTGAAGCTGTTTTTCAGAAGCAGTAAGGGTGCCCATTTTATTTATTTATTCATTTTGTGGTACGTGCTCCTAGCGGGAACCAAACCCGGGACTCTCTGGTCCGCAGGCCGACGCTCAACCGCTGAGCCACACTGGCCAGGGCTGGTGCCCATTTTAAAACATGGAAACTGAAAGGTGGTCTTTCAGAAACACGACTCTGCCACTTGACGCGCCATCGGCACATCTTTTCCGTCCACGGCCCACGGGAATAGTTCCAGACTTCTCTCCCTCTCTGCCTCAGCTGAAAGCCACCCACCCGCCGCCTCCTCGGGCTCGGGACACAGATGCTCTCAGGGCCCCCTGGGAGCAGGTGGTGGCCCCGTCCCTCCACTGCCACCACAGACTCCAGAGCAGCAGACGGGGGTGGGGGCTGCATTCTCATGGCTCAGCTGTCCTCTGGCCAACCCCACACCAAACAGCTTTCTCCTTCAGAGCCCCACTGCCCAGCAGTGACCTCAAACCCCTTCCTGAACCCCCTTTCTTCTGGACACACCTGGCTCTCCTCCCAACTCCCAATATCCTCAACGTCCTCCTGATAACAAAAAACTTCACCTTCAACCTCCTTCAACAACCGCCCCCACGGCCCCCCCAGGCCTTAGACCTTCCCTCACGCGCTCAAGTCTCTCTGCCCTGAAAGAAACCCAGCTCCAGCCCCTGCTCCCCCGTGACCTACTTCCTTCTCCCTGCACGAGCCTGCTGGAGGACAGGCTGCACAGCTGTCACCATGTGCTGCCTGCACTCAGGACCTACCTCTCCCCTCCACTCACGGAGTCTGGCTTCCACCTGCCACTGTGGGAATCCCCATCCCCAGGCCTCTGCCCCCCACACTCAGGGCTGGTGCCCATTTTAAAACATGGAAACTGAAAGGCGGTTTTTCAGAGACACGACTCTGCCACTTGACAGAATATCCTCCAGCATCACTTCAGACCAAGCTCCTCTCTGTCATCCATGAATCCCAGCCAAAAAGGGAAAACTGAGAAATCCAATTCAGTCAAGACTAAACAGGGTTTAAATAACCATCATTAAGCACAGAAAAGCACACAGCAGTGATTTCACTGTGCCTGGTGTACTGGCCTTACCTTAACAAAAGAAATGTATGGCCCTGGCCGGTTTGGCTCAGCGGTTAGAGCATCAGTCCTCGGACCAATGAGTTGTGGGTTTGATTCCAGTCAAGGGCTCATACCTCCATTGTGGTTCGAACCCAGCCCTGGTTGCATCGTGCGGGGGAGGCAACCAGTCAATGTGGCTCTATCACATCGATGTTCTCTCTGTCTCTCTCTCTCTCCTTCCCTCCCGCTCTATCTGATAATAAATGGAAAAGTGTCCTTGAGTGAGGAATAAAAAAATTTTAAAAATGTGTGATGAGGCTTTCTTAATGCAAGGAAAACATACACCTTTATAAAGATGTAAGTATAAAAGTCTGTGTAGGTTCTACGGGAAAAGCTCTTTCAAATGCTTGTCATGCTGAGCCTCCCAGGTCAAGAAAGCAAATGTTGGCAACTGGCTGGGAACAGAGTCGGGCCATCAGGGATGTGGGCAGAGGTCAGCGATGATTCAGCACGCATTTCCTTCACGCGGCCTCAGCACTGTCATCCTCTCTTATTTAGGGACTAATACTTCAGTCTGTGGCCACTTCTTTTGCCTTCCTTTCCTTTATTCTGTTTCAGTATTGAGGTTTTTACCCAGAAAAACTAGCAACACTTAGGAGGAAAAAAAATAAAAGGTTTTCAGGGGGCAAAGGTTAATTGGATACCTATACTTAATAATGTTTAACCAGTATTTTTAAAGTTGGTTGTATAAAAACCCGATGGCTGATGAATCAGCCTGTTGACTGTCAGTGATCCGTACTGAAAACCTCATCCTTCTAACTCGTGGTTGGAGGGGAGGAGAAGCCTGGGAGCCCAGCTGCTGTGCACTTGCTGGGGCTGCTCCTCTGGAAATGAGTCAGGCCTGCTGTTCAGTATTAAAAGGAAAAGGGGTCATTTTGCTATGACAGCAAGTTTTTCTTTTTTTTTTTTTTGATGCTGGAGAGAGAGGAGAGGGAGAGAGAAACAGAAACATCAATAAGAGAGAACATCAATTGGCCGCCTAATGCGTGCCCCCACTAGGGTTCTGGCCCACAACCTGAGCATGCGCCCTGACTGGGAATCGAACCTGCAACCTGAGCATGGGTCGACGTTCAAGCACTGAGCCACAGCAGCCAGGCTGACAGCAAGTTTTTAATCAAGCCAAATTTCCTATTCAACTAACATACGGAAACCATTCAAGAAATGTCATTTGCCCTGGCCAGTTTGGCTCAGCGGTTAGAGCATCGGCCTGCGGTCCGGAGAGACCCGGGTTCGGTTCCCGCTAAGGGCACGTACTTCGGTTGCAGTTTGTCCCCGGCCCTGGTTGGTCGTGCGGGTGGCAGCCACTCGATGTGTCCCTTCACGTCGATGTTTCTCTCTCTCTCTCCCTTCCTCTCTCTCCCTCCCACTCTATCTGTACAAAAAATGGAAAAATATCCTCGGGTGAGGATAAAAAAAAAAAAAGAAATGTCATTCAATGATCATTAATTGTAAAGCTCATAGAAGTGTATCTAAACAACCCCCTACCTCACAGATACGAAAACCGACACCCTGGGAGGGAAACACACGTGCGGAGAAACTGCCCAGCCATCGGGAACACAGACTCCAGGCCTGCACCAGCCGATACAGCAGCCACTGGCCACACACAGTGATGAGCACTTTAAATGTGGCCAGTCTGCCCGGCCAGTGTGGCTCAGTGGTTTCAGCGTCGACCCACGTACCAAGAGGTCGCCAGTTTGATTCCCAGTCAGGGCACATGCCAGGTTGTGGGCCAAATCCCCAGTGGGGGGCATGCAGGAGTTGACTGATGGATATTCTCTCTCATTGATGCTTCTATCTCTCTCTCTCTCTCTCTCTCCCTTCCCCTCTCTAAAATCAATAAAGAAAAAAATCATTTTTAATAAATAAATGTGGCTGGTCTGAACCAAACGCACTGTGAATGTCAGTGCACACTGGATTTCAAATTCACCATGACATGTGTAGCTGTCCTACTGGACAGTGCTGCTCCAAAGCTATCGGCCTGGGTTTGAATCTAGGCTCACCACTTGCCATCTGACCCACGCGGGGTGAAGTGCTGACCCTTTCTATGCCTCAGTCCACCACTCGCCAAGAGGAAATAACCGGAACTACTGCATATAACCCTCTGCAGGGATTACATGAGTTCTGTGTAAAAGGAGACTGTCAGCACACACTGATGGTCTATGCATCCTGTTTCTAACAATTAAAAAAGGAAATGACTTCTTAAATTATACCTTAATTGAGATATAATTCACATACCATAAAAGTCAGCCTTTTAGAATATACAATCCTGTGGTTTCTAGTAAATTCACAAAGTCATGCAGCCATTACCACTATCTAATTCCGGAATATTTTCACCATCCCAAAAAGAAACCCCACACCCATCAGCAGTCGTTCCCCACTGTCCCCTCCACCAGACCTTGGCAACTACTAACCCACATTCTGTCCACACAGATTTCCCTATTCTGGACATTTCACATAAATGGAATCCTATAGTATGTGGTCCTTTGCAACTGGCTTCTTTTGTTTAGCATTATGTTTTTAAAGTTCATCCATGATGAAGTATCTGTACTTGATTCTTTTCCATGACCAAATAACATCCCCTTGTGTGGGCAGATGACATTCTGTTTATCCATTCATCAGTTGATGGACATTTGGATCGTTTCTACTTTTTGGCTATTATGATTACTGCTGCTATGATGAGTCCTGTACAAGTTTTTCTGAGCACACTGTTCACTTTCTTGGGTGTATACCTAGAAGTGGAATTGCTAAGTCATTTGGTAACTCTATGTTTAACCTTTTGAGGAACTGCCAGACTGTTTCCCAAAGCAGCTACACCCTTGTACATTCCCACCAGGAGGTTGCACTTTCAATGTATTTACAGATGTGGCTTCTTTCTCAGTCATTTCTGCCAGGCTGATCTGGTGGAAATGCCAGGAAAGATGGGGAGGAGGGTGTGAGGGGAGGGCAGCAGGGCAGAGGCTTGGAGGGCACAGGCTTCTTGAGGCTTTGACCACATCATTCAGTCCTGTCCGTATCTCAATTTCTGTGTGGCCTCGGGCAAGACACTTCCTCTATTTTAGTCTCAGTTTCCTTATCTATAAAACAAACGTGCTGACCAGTAGGCCTCAACAAGGGGTCTGTGGTAAAGGCAGGGTGGGTGATGCTCCTGGCATCTAGTGAGTAGAGGTCAAGGATGCTGCTAAACACCCTACAATGTGCAGGACAGTCCCCCAGAGAATTACCTGGTCCCACGTGGCAATGGCTCCAAGGTTGAAAACCCTGGGCTAGCCTGAGGTGACTCCATAGGGGCCGTTTTGAGGAACTGCCAAACCGCTTTCCAAAATAGTTGTACTGCCCTGGCCGGTTTGGCTCAGCGGTTAGAGCGTCGGCCTGCGGTCCAGAGACTCCCGGGTTCGGTTCCCACTAAGGGCATGTACCTCGGTTGCAGTTTGCCTCCGGCCCTGGTTGGGTCATGCGGGTGGCAATCACTTGATGTGTCCCTTTCACATCGATGTTTCTCTCTCTCTCTCTCTCTCCCTCCCACTCTATCTGAACAAAAAATGGAAAAATGTCCTCGGGTGAGGATTAAAAAAAAAAAAAAAAAAATAGTTGTACCATTTTATAATCCCCACAGCAACACACGAGTTCCCATTTCTCCACATTTCTCCGCAGCCTGGCCAACACATACTCCCGCCAGCCTAAAAGGAGTGTGGACGGCTTTTTCAATGTCTGTTCTGTTAGTGAGGTCCAGGACTGTTACAGAATGCCCCTGCCATAAAGAAAGAGACGCAGCATTGTCTCACCTGGTGCCTGTAGTTATACCAGCCATTTGAGCCTGCGACAATGACCACCCAGTGCTTGCCTCCATCCTCAGGATCGTCCTCGAGAACAGCACCGGTTCCCAGGGCCACGCTGAGCAGCACGGCTACTTCCCACATCATTCTGAACCTTGGCATGCAACTGCAGAAAGCTGGGGAGAAAAAGCAGAGTCAAGCAGAAAGGGAAGACAGGAACCGAAGAACACTGTTGGCCCCTTAGGACAGTATCGCAGTAAGTGGGTCAAATGTAAGACCATTTAGTCAGCAGACAGAACATGCTGAGGATAAAACTGCTGGCAGAGCAGAACTTTGTTTTTAGCTCTGCTGCCTCTTTCCCCAGGTGAGAAGGGGCTGCCCACAGCTCCCAACCTTCACCACAAGCTGAAGGTATGACTATAAACCAAAGAATATCAAGCAAGCTCTCTGAGCAACCTTTAAAGTTGTTGTCACAACTGGGTATACAGCAGGCAAAATTCACTGCATTAGAAAGATGTCTACCGCCCTGGCCGGTTTGGCTCAGCGGTTAGAGCGTCGGCCTGTGGTCCTGAGAGACCCGGGTTCGGTTCCCGCTAAGGGCGCGTACCTAGGTTGCAGTTTGTCCCCGGCCCTGGTCGGTTGTGCGGGTGGCAGCCACTCGATGTGTCCCTTTCACATCGATGTTTCTCTCTCTCTCTCTGTTCCTCTCTCTCCCTCCCACTCTACCTGAACAAAGAATGGAAAAATGTCCTCGGGTGAGGATAAAAAAAAAAAAAAAAAAAAAAAAAAAGAAAGATGTCTACCACGTACTATGAACTGTTTGCCAGAAAAGAACACACACGTAACGTATGCATAGAAAAATGTGGAAGGCAGACATAAAAATGTAACAGTAGTTATTACTGGGTGGTAGGTGGAATTAAGGATGATTTTCATATTTGTCTTTTATTACTATAGTTAATATATATTATAAAGATTGTCAAAACTCAATATATGTTTAATATAAACACTGAGTGACAATTCGTTGGTGAGCAAGCGAACTGGATAAGGAACAGTCAAACACTGGCAGCCCAAATTAATGTCCGTATAATCCGTGTTTTACAAAAAAGGGAGGCTGCACAGTAAGACTGAAGTAACTTGCCCAGATCCCATCCAGTCAGTTCGGCCAGAGACCAGGGCCACTGCCTTTCTGCCAAGTGGGTCTTCATCGCAAGACTATTATGCCAAGTGAAGCACAAGCCTGACTTTATACTCTGTTGCCAAAACTTGAAATAATGTTTTAAAGCATCAAAGGCAGGACTGTCTGAGTCCTGGCCACCATGCATTACTCAGATTAGACCTTGTCCTGTGTCCTGAATGTGCTATTCTTATAAAAACCAACCTTCCTATGACAAAAGCCAGGCCTGTCATTCTGAGATAAGAGGAAAAACAGTCCTGGAGCTGTAGGGACCCACAGCAGAGAGTCTGTGAAGCTGACCTCTGCCTTCGATGTCATTTGGCAAAATAGTGCTCCTTCACTCATTCATTCGCCCGCTTGGCCAGTCTCCTGATTACCCACCCGCCAGACAATGTGCTGGGTACTGGGAACACAGTAGGGACAGGACAAGGCCTCTGTCCTCACAGAGCATGCAGCCAGCTAAGACATGAACCACCTCTATGCCTAAGACACCATCCTTAGTACTGTGCCTAACCCTGGGCTAAAACTCAGAACGATGGGTTTTCCCCTGTAAGTGAAGAAACAGGAAGCTGAGTCTGGTGAAAGTTTAAAAACCTAAGAGTGTCACAGGCCTGTGCTTCAACGGGGCTGTTCACCCAGATCATCTGGGGGTCTTATCAGAATGCAGATTCTGATTCGGTAGGCCGGGGGCAGGGTCTGAGGCTCTGCATTTCTGACAAGCTCTGGGTGACACCTAAGACTGATGTAGCACACCTCTTTACCAACCCTGGCTGGCGCCAGTCCACACCTGCCCCGAAGGCCCGCATCCCAACACTGTCCTATCCCTCAGTGTCTCCTCCCCAGAACTAATTACTAATCTGTACCCTGAGCTGGTGCCAGATCTGGGGTGTTTCAGCTCCACTGCAGGTCCATGAATGCATAGTAACTACAGTAAGATGTCCCAGATTTGTTTTAAAGATTACCTTTAAATGGCCACGTGTTCTGGTCTGGTTGGTTGTCGTGTTTTAGTATGGTGGGTAACAGACATGAGAGAACAGACAGCTAGATGAGGGCAGTGGCCGTTCGCCACGCAGAACCCTGGCCTGTTGAAGTGTTTATGTGCACCTGCGGAAGCTCTCCCAAGCCCGCCAGACCTGACCAGGGCTCAGAGGTAACAATAAAAAGTGCAATTATACAAGCAAAAAAGGAAGCAATGGTGAGGTCAGGCAAGAGAGGGCCAAGGAGCAAAAGCACCCCTGTCCCCAGAGCTACCCTGTAGCCAGCCCCCCCCCCTCCTTGGGAGATAGTGACTACTAAGGTGACCACCCAGCAGCTCTTCGATTCTGAACTCACCCTTAGTTGCTGGCTGCAATTAAGCCTCCTGGGAACGCTGCCCCAGGGTACCAGTCGGCAAACATTTTCTATAAAAGGCTAGACAGTCAGTATTTCCAGCCTGGCAAGTCATGTCATCTCTTCTCACCACTATTCCACTCTCCCTCTGTATCACAAAAGCCGTCAGAGACGATACGTAAACCAATGGACGTGGCTATGTTGCAACAGAACCAGCGTTCCTTCGGTCCGCCCCAGGGAGCGAGCACGAGTCCTCTGCCCATGTGACAGGTACAGCCTGGCTGGTTTTATCAGCTTCCGGCTCCCAGTTCACACACCAGTCTCTTCTGAGTCTGGTTCGTGTGACTTAATCCCGAAGAGGCTCATTCCTCGGGAGGCACTGGTGTGTGACTTCTTCCCTTCATATTTAGGGATAAAAAGGATAAATAAAATACCAGACTCAAATGGCTGGCCTGACTGTGAACAACAGAATGAACACCGGCAGCTGCACCGCCGAAATCAGCAAACAGCACGACAGCTACTGAGAAAGCACCGCCAGGCTGTTTTTAGAAATTCAAGTTTGTCTTTCATTCTTCTACTAATATACTAGCAAGTTACTCCTCAGTGAGGAAAGTGCCTTATAAATACACAGTGATATTTTTATAGTTAACATCCAGTGATGGTTCTCCTCTATCATTTTCTTATTTACAGAGTGTGGTTCCTTCAGCATGATGGCAAGTTAAAAGCCTCACAGTATGACACTAATTGGCAAATGCCACTTTAAAAACACATATGCTAATACTATTTGGGGAAACATACAGATGACTGGGGTGAAGATGCGATGTGGAAGTACTGTAATCATCCCATTACCCTCAGCAAGAACCCTCTCAAAGCACCAGCCTCGGGCAGCATTTCCCCCTCATCAGCAACATTCTCCACAAAGGCCGTCTGGCGGCATGCCTATTATTTTTGTTTTCGCAAAGTGAACAATTCATGAAGAAAAAGCAATGATCCCTGGTAAACTAGCTCTTTGTGACTGCTGTCTTCAGTCTACCCAAGCCCCCTTTTCCATTCAACAAACAAGGCCTGAGCACCCAGCAGGTGCTCACAGGCACCAAAGAGGGAACCACACGAACAAAACCCTTCCCCGAGCTGACGTTCTAGTGGGAAGAGATGGACGGAAATGCACAGGTTGTGGGGTGGTGCCGAGCGCCCGCCCAGGAGAAAGCTAAGGCAGGAGAGGGTGTCCCGGTAGGAGAGGGAGGTGTCATTTTTCAACGGGAAGATTTGAAGGAGCTGAAGGAGCACACCCCTACTGCAAAACACTGGAAACAACAAAAATGGTCATCTACAGGGACTGTCTAGTTAAATCATTATGGTACATCCTTATAAGGGGGTACTGTGAAGCCTTTAAAAAGATTAAGGCTGCCCTGGCCAGTGTGGCTCAGCGGTTAGAGCGTCGGCCTGCAGTCCGGAGAGACCCGGGTTCGGTTCCCGCTAAGGGCACGTACTTCGGTTGCAGTTTGTCCCCGGCCCTGGTTGGTTGTGCGGGTAGCAGCCACTCGATGTGACCCTTCACGTCGATGTTTCTCTCTCTCTCTCCCCTCCTCTCTCTCCCTCCCACTCTATCTGTACAAAAAATGGAAAAATATCCTCGGGTGAGGATAAAAAAACAAAAGATTAAGGCTGATCTCAATGTGCCAAGAGTGGAAAACGCTCCAAGGTGTACTGTTAGGGAGTAAGTGTTTAGTCTGCTAAACATTTTCAGGGAGAAAATGACACAGACAGTTGACACTCGAACCAGGGAAGAGAAGTCTCCCCTGGGAGAGCGGGCTATCTGTGGATGTCTGCTACGAGCATGGAGCGTGCAACGTGCAAGGCACCTCACACACGCCTCACAGCAGCGGTGGGCCTGTCCCACTGCGCCCTTCAGACATTTGACAAAACTGAGGCTCAGAGGTAGAGAAACTTACTGGTAAGTTAAGTTTGTCATTTACTGCTGGTAAATGATATAGATCTGACTGCAAAGACAGCTTTTTCCACATCACTTAGGTTGTCATAAAAGAATTATTCATGTGAACGTCTGGGAGGCCCTGTAACCACAGATCGGGACACTACACCCCACACCTGGGGCCCGAGCACAGCGTGGGCCTCAGCATTTCCTCCAGCAAGAGGACACCCACAGTGCTCTGCACCACCCTACTATTCTAAGGCACTCGTAGGCAATTCAAGAGAACCTGATTCACACAAAGTCACGGTCAATGCACAAGACTTTACAAAAGAATTTCACAGCATCCAGTGACGAATCCGCTGCTGTTCCCACTTGGTCCTGTGAACCTCTCAGACCACCAGGCTACACTAGGGCAGTGATTCAACTGAAGAATTCTGCTTGACTTCAAGAAGCATTCAGTACCATCGGGTGGGGTTCGATCCATTTGGGAGGTTTGGGGCAGAGTGCCCATTTGAGGTAAATTATCACCAACAATAATAAGTAATAAGGCCATGGTCACATGACCATCTAGATAGCAGAGTTAAGTTCAAACCCAGGTCTGACACCTAAACCCACATCTTAACCACCATCGGCTGTGACCGCTCCCTGCCAGATCTGATTTGCTACAGGCTCTGGGTTTGAAACAGCGAACCATCAAAGCCAAGCTAGACAACGACATCTGAAAGAGCCTTCCAAACCTGAGG